TACGATATTAAATGAAGTTGAAATCTTACATTATTAATACCATTTCGAAGTGCTCACGATCTAATTTTTCACTTGTTAATGGCCTATGAAATAGCCAACCGTCTTCGAAGTCGACAATTCCAAACTAGTATTTTAAGAATTTTGATAATATATTAACTTAAAAAATTTGCCAACGATTGTACACTAGCCGAATCCACAAATTGCCTACGTCATTCAAAGCTTATTTTAAGAACTACATCGTTGTCGTATCGAATGGTCCAAAACAAATATAAAAAATAATTAAACGTACGTCTCTAAAAGAGATGTCTAACTCGTCTATTCTTTAAATTTTGTTTAAATTATTTCATTAACGTTTATTATTTTTGTAAAACAATTTTTTCAATATAATTTACACCATTCTATTAGCAAATTTTACATGGAGTATAACATAAAAAAATTTAGGATCGTTATATATTAAATGTAATTTGAATTATTTTTGAATTAAATTTGAATTTCATTTACTTTCTAGATAAAACTTGGATTTTATTTCAATTTATTTACTTCCTACATTCAACTTAACTTACTCGCTACCGGCTCTGCATTTGTCAACGAGGTGGTAAACAAAACTATGTAAGTAGTAAAATCCATTTGACAATATCGTTAATGATATAATTATATGATATTTTCAAAGTATTAGGATGCGCAAACTACTATTAGTATTGTATTAAATTATTTTTATTAATATTATGTTATTTAAAAAAAAATTGCATTTTAATTTTTGATCCCACCATACAAAAAGTCTGGGTCTACCCCTACTCTGTGATCCATGCAATTGTCTAGGATACCTCGGCTTTCGTAGCTTTGAAACTCATTGTGTGTTCTTCAAGATATAGCAATCTTTGGCTTTGTATTGGTTCTTCGTCACCTCTCTTACTGCATTGCGTTTGCAGACCAAGCTACATTTGACTTCAAGTGATAGTGAAGGTCTTTTTATGTCAAATGATATTCTTCTTCTCTTAGATATATACACATTGCATGTCTCTAGTTTTGTGACTTCTCTAATTGCCTTCTTCCCTTTCTTCAATGCAGCCATTCTTCTTCTTGACCTCTGCCTTCTCGAGGTTAATTTACTTTATTAACTCCATCTGCAGGTATGCTTCTAGTATGACCTTATGAAAATATTGACACTCTCCTAAGGCCAGATTTAATAGTGATTAGTATCACATCACAAGAAGTTAAGCAACTATTGCACAGTATGCCCTTCTTTGAGCCACATTATTTTAATAAGAACGTATTTTTTATTAATGTATTGATGAAAAATATATGGTTAAAAAATAAGGAAAAATTATGAATTTGCGGGGTAATATTATGTGTGGTTGAAATGATACTAAATCACTGTTTAAAAAAAAAAAAAAAAATATATATATATATAAAAAAATCTTCGTTACACTGACCCTCTGCTCAAACAGGGCTTATTTAGCTTGATGAGTATACAACCCATGAACATTTTGCATTCGAGTACAAAATGGGTTGCCCGAAAATCTTCGATATGAGAACCCACCTCATCAAATCAACGAACCAACTTTTTCATTCAAATTCAAATCTTTCAAATTGCTGGAATCACCTGGCAATACTCTGTTCTCTGGGATCAAGATTGATCATACCATATTTTATGTGTTAAAGAATCTTAAAAAATACCCCAAATACTCAAAATCACATACTACTAACTTAGGCAATAGAGTAAAATCTGCAACTCCAATTTTCGTGTGGTTGAACTCTCAATCCAACTTATTTGCACCTTTTCCTACGTTCACTATGTTAATGAAAGTGAGCAGAACAGATTTCTATGTGGAAAATGAGTTGGGTTAAATTTTCAAAAGGGTTTTGTCATCGAAAGGTGTAATGTAGATATTTGAATGAAGTCACACTTTCACATCAAAATAGTAGAATTTCACCTCTTTGGATTGCACAAGAATCCAATTGAAGATCACTATTAGACCAACCAGAACCTTAATAATTCGAAGCAAAATATCAGTCGTCAGACATCAGCTAAAACTTCCGAAATGATAGTGTTTGCATGAAAGTACAATCAATGTCATGTATTTTCCAAAAAGAATTATGCTAATGTTTGATTGCAAATATGGAATTGAATTGAATTAAAAATGAATTCCAAAAAATTGAATTGTCTAAAAATTATTTTCCTGAAAATTGTAAATTATTGTATTTGGTTGGGATAATTTTTCACGTGAAAATGTTGAAATAAAAATGTTTTTGATCTCTGTTTGACTTTGTTTAACATGAAAATTATCAATTAAAGGGATAAATTTTACTGGTATTGAGGATGAAATTCGTTCCATTGCCAACACACAAAAAAAAAAAAAATTTTTAAAAAAATCATCTATTTTTTTATGTTCGTTTGACTTTGTTCACATGAAAATTATCATTTAAAGGGAAATATTTTTTTACAATAATTCTTAGAATTTGTTTCCATTGTCAAAAAAAAAAAATAATAATAATAATAAATAAATAAATCAATCAAAAAAAAATTAAAAAAATGCTACAGTAACCGAGAATTCCAATTCTCACCAAAATAATGAGTTTCAAGAAAAACATGGAAATTAGTTTAGGTGGCATAAAAGGTGGAATTCGAATTCTAGGAAAAATTTTGTCAATCAAACAACAAAAAATTGGAAAGATGGAATTTGATTTCCATTTTCCAGAATTGGGGTACAATCAAATATAGCCTAAGTGTACATTTCATAGTGTACATCTTCGTGTACATTCCATTGTATTTCAAAAAGTGTTGGATGGGAAAGTATTTTTTTTATTTTTTTTTTTAAAACAGTCCGATCATGTATTACCACATGGCATAATATTAAAAATGATGTAAACACTAATGTATATGTAGCATGATTGTTTTAGAAAATGAGTTTCAAAAAGTAAGCAATTTTTTTACTTGAAAGGACTCAATGGCCTTGACTCTTATTTCTTCAGCCGAGAGCTCCTACGATAACAAACTACTAGGTCATCAAGAGACTATAGCCATTCCTTATTAGACGGAAAAAGGAATAATACAATCCGAGAAACCTTAACACAGATGCTGAATCATATGCCGCAGGTAGAATAAGAGTAAAGCAAGAGATGAAATCTTATCTTATTCAAATACGCCTTAGAACCAAGATGACCCCTGAAAATTACGCCATTTGTACAACCTGCAGTCAGTCACGACTATAACAGACACAAAATAAAATATTCCTATTCATTTCCGTCGTTTTTCTCTTCTGCAATATGAACACTCTCGATCTGCTCAGTAACCTCATCAGCTGCATCCTTCATGTTCTGAATAGGTCCATTAGAAGAACTGTCCTGTTCATCATGAGTCAAAGGACCGGTTTGCCATATTCTGATAGTCCCGTCTTCAGATCCTGAAGCATAGGATTCACCTCCAGGGGAAAATCGAACACAGTGCACTGGACCGTGGTGACCTTTGTTGCATCCTGTGATGAAAAAAAGACCAAGCAAAAGCTTAGGCTAGATCCATGATAGGACAAAGCCCAGTATCACCCGAAAAAGAATAAATATTGGCAATAATGACTGCTGTAAAATCCAACTAGAAGGTGAAACTGATATTATGCACCTGCATTAGTATTAGAAACTTAAATAAAAATAATGATAGCAGCATCAAGAAGATCATGAAGACGCTGATGTGCAACAGATGTGAAATTACTAGAACAGAAAAAGTTTCCTAGACAACAAGACTCGGGTTGTAATGAAAAGGTAAATTATATGCCCCCAAATGCCAAGCAATATAAACGGGGGGCGGGGGGGCGAGGATGTGGGGACATGGAAAAAGTCACTGTACCTGTCCAGGTCCAGGAAATCAAGGCACTAAATGATTGATGAAGTAAAAAAATACTGACGATGAACGGCATAAGGGAACTCACCAATTTCTGCTCCTGTGTGAAAATCAAAAACACGGACCCACATGTCTTCTCCTCCAGCAATGAACTTGTTACCGTACTTCGGTTCCAATGAAGCTGATTCCACAATGCATGGCATATTATAGCTTTTTACCAGTCCAAAGCTGTTGAAAGATGACACATCATTATGGATGAAAACCAAGACTGGAACATAATCTATGTTTGGAGATTTGCTCATAGAATTAGAAAGGGGGAAGGTGGGAGGTTGATGGGGGAAAGATCAGAGACATACTGATTTGCATCCCAAAATTTGACAGTTGACCCATCAGCGGTTGTTATATAGCGACCATCTTGACTCACTTCAGCGCTGGTTACAGAAGACTTGGTCTCAAGAGTTCGAGAGATTTTGCCAGTTCTCACATCCCACAACCTACCATTGGTTCAAAAATATTAACATTAAAAGAATATCAATGCATGTAAATTTAAGTTCAATAAATCAATGTAGAAGTAGCAAACAACAGATGGACTTAAGAATACATAGCACATCTCTGGATATTTTGACCCTAATAAGAAATCTGAAAATTCTTAAGGCAAGGAGTTAATGAGTGGCAAAAATAATAGACAGGACGTTGCAAGTTACTAAAATTCGAGCTAATGCTTCAAGGAGCAAAGTCCAAACTTAGAAGTCCTGAGGCCCAAGACCCAAAAAAATGAAATGAAAAAGAAGGGTCCAATGCAAAATCACACACTACAAGTAGGTTACATCACTCAATCATCATGGACCCGCCAAACTCAGCAAGGACAATATAACTTTACATGACAAAGGCTAGCACAAATGGAGACCCTTATATTTTCTGCTATAAAGCAGCCTATGACAAAAGAGCATCTAAGGATATAATGATTGATGGCCGTATATCTTTTAACATTTAATTTAATCTTCAAGCATCATGTAAGACAGGAGATGCATCAGAGAATCGCATATTATCATATGAACAGATGGGGCATCACTATTCACCTTAAAATGCATATAGACAATAAAAACTAGGTCCTCAGATCTTTGAAACAAAAAACAAGATTTACAAGTAACTTATAAACTACCTACAAGAAAACAACATCAAACTCAAATTCTGAGTACATACCTCACCCCGCCGATATCAGTACAGGTACTTAAGATAGTTTGGTCACTATGGAGCCAAGAAAGAGTTCTAACTGAACCAGGAGAATTTTCAACTTCCCTGGGAGGAGCATCCAATCGATTTAAATCGTATATGCGAAGAACTTTTTCAACGCCTCCAGTTAGCAGCAGGTGGGTATCCTGAAAAATCGATCAAATAACTTAATCCATTGATTGATATATATCTAAGAGAAATAAAACTAAAAATAGCACAGATTCAATGCCAAGTAATAATTCATAAGTATTATATGTTAATAGTGAATTGTTGATTGGTAAATTTGAGTTAGTGAATCTATTTGTTTGAAAGGAAATGCACATGTCGACTTGTCAATAGACTTGCTCAATCAAAGCGGAAATTTTAAATGTAAACCAAAAAAAATATAGTACTACTCACTCATATGAAATGTAGTCACTAATATCAACTTTAGGCACTTGCAAAAATAGGAAATTAATGCTAAACCGGTTGATAATGAGGAAGGCATTTATCACAAAATGAAAATATATCTAGAAACGAACTTCTAGATGAGGTACAAATAATCAAA